CTTCTTCATAGAAAGATCCTTTTAATATTATGTAGTTACCTTCTTTTTTTTCTTATTTTGGCTTTCTTTTTTAAGTCTATCTTGTCATATACAAATATTGCTATACCACCTTTTCTTTTGTTTCCATTTGCCTAGAAAAAAAATTTCTTTATCAATTTTAGAGAGAGAGAAAGGGAAAAAAAGAGAGAGAGAGAAACATCAATGAGAGAGAACATTGATTGGCTGCCTCCTGCATGTCCCCCACTGGGGATAAGGCTCACAACCTGGGCATGTACCCTGACCGGAAATTGAACCAGCTATCTTTTGATGTATCAATACTCAATCACTGAGCCACACCTGTGGGGCTGGAAAATGTTTTTCCATCCCTTCAGTTTTGTCTTATGTGAGTCTTTTGATCTGAGATGGATCTCTTGTAGAGAACATATGTATGGGTCATGTTTTCTTATCCAATCATCTACCATATGTCTTTCGATTGTAGTATTTATGCCATTTGCATTTAAGATTATTATTGATAGGTACTTATTAATCACCATTTTTAGTCTTTAAGCCTGGGTGCCAATCTTTCTCTCTTTACTTCTTCTTCTTACATCAATCCCTTTAGCATCCCTTGCAGTGCTGGTTTGGTGGAAGCAACTCCTTTAGCCCTTTTTTTTTTTGTCTGTGAAGCTCTTTATTTCACCTTCAATTTTGAGTGATAGCCTTGCTGGATTCAAACCTTGTCTTTCATTACTTTGTATACTTCATTCCACTCCCTTCTGGCCTCCATTGTTTCTATTGAGAAATCAGCTGGCCATCTAGTAGGCACTCACTTGTAGGTAACTTTCTGTCTTTAAGATTCTTTCTTTGTCTTTAACATTTGCCATTTTAATTATGATGTGTTTAGGTGTGGGTCTCTTGGGATTCATCTTGATTGGGTCCCTCTGTGTTTCCTTGGTTTGTGTGACTTTTTCCATCACCTGGTTAGAGAAGTTTTCTGACATTATTTCTTCAAACAAATTCTCTATTCCTTTTTCTGATTCTTCTCTTTCTGGTAACCCTATGATGTGAATGTTTTGGTTTTATGATGTCCCAAAGCCCCCTTAAACTCTCCTCCTGCTTTTTATTTTTTTTTTCCATTTACTGCTCTATTTGAGTATTTGGGGTTTTTGTTGTTGTTGTTGTTTGTTTGTTTGTTTTTTACCTTGTCTTCTAACTTGCTGATTTTGTCTTCAGCATCTTCTAGTCTACTATTGAATCCTTCCAAAGTTTTTTATCAGCCATATCATTCTTCATTTCCACTTGATTTTTATTTATAGTTTCTACTTATTGTTAATGCTGGAGTAGTTCCCATTGAGTTGCTTATGTCTCACTGAGTTGTTTGAGCACCCTTAAAACCATTGTTTTGCATTCTCTATCTGACTAACTGATTGCCTACATTTCATGCACTTCCTTTTCTGGTGGTCCCTCTTTCCTTCCATTTGGGAATTGTTTATTTGTCTCACCATTTTGGTAGTCTTGTAGTTTGGGGCCAGTTGAGGTGTGGTGGACCATGTAGAAAGATTGGTGTGTATCAGATAAGACTGCTGTGGCTTCCAGTCTTGGTGTGGTGGCCTTTTTGTGGAACCCAATGGCATAGTCTCCTTAATCTTCTGAACTCAGTAGTCTAGAATTGTCCCTTATGTGGGTTATGTGGGTTCTCCTGTTGAATTTGAGTCTTGATTGCCGTTTCTTTGGGGTTGTTAACTATGGCTTTCAACCCATGCCCCGTTGGCCCTGTCATGCTAATCATTATATATTTGTTGACAAAACAAAATAAAGTAACAAGACCTACAAAAAAAGAATCTCCCCCAAAATATCTGTCTCAAAAACAATAGAAGTAACCATCTGAACAAAAAGATTTCCTTTGAGACTACATGGAGGGACCTGGAAAGTATCATTCTAAGTAAAACAAGCCAGACAGAGAAAGACAAGTATCATATGTTCTCACTTTTTTGTGGAATATAATGATCATAACAGTCTGAGGAATGGGGTAGTCCCAGAGACGTAGAAGTGGGGTACAGTCAGAAAATCCCCAAAAGAGGGGGTGGTGGAGGAGAGATAAACCACAGAACTTATATGCATGCATGCATTAACAATGGACATGGACAACAAAGCTGGGACAGGGCAGGGAGGGAGGGGAAGGGGGAATCAGTGGGGGAAAAAGGAGAAACATCGGTAACAAAAATTAATTAATAAAAAATTTGCCCTGGCCGGTTTGTTTCAGCGGTTAGAGCGTCGGCCTGTGGTCTGGAGAGACCCGGGTTCGGTTCCCGCTAAGGGCATGTACCTCGGTTGCAGTTTGTCCCCGGCCCTGGTCGGTTGTGTGGGTGGCAGCCACTCGATGTGTTCCTTTCACATCAATGTTTCTCTCTCTCTCTCTGTTCCTCTCTCTCCCTCCCACTCTACCTGAACAAAAAAATGGAAAAATGTCCTCGGGTGAGGATAAAAAAAAAAAAAAAAAAAATTTTTTTTAAAAGATTAAAAGGCATACAAACAAAGAAAAAAAAATACTCACACCCACACAAGGAATACTAGGTTTGAGAGCAAACGTATTAGAAAAGGGAGAAAAGAGAAAACCAGAAATGTATATAGAATAAAATAAAATATAAGTAAAGAAGGCAATGCACAACTAGACTAAAAAAAAAAAAAAAACTTATGAAAAAAATGAGCTTGTACAATGATATACTCCCCAGGCTCAGCAATATGATTAAAAGACAAATAAACTGAAAACACACATCCTCATACCGACACACACAATGAACAGTACTAGAAAGCATGAGACTCAACGAATTAAAAGGGGTGTAGAAAAAAGGTGTATATGAAAATAAAGATGAAAAAGCAATAGCAGACCAAACCAAATGGCATATTGAACACATATCAGCATCTACAATGGTAGAAGCATCTGCTTCAAAACAAGCTTAAAAGACAAATAACCAGAAAACACACACATACACAAAAATAATACTAGCAAGCATGAGACCAAAAGGTTTAGGAAAGGGGAGGGAGGATGAAAAAATGAGAATATGAAAGCAAAGAAGGCAGAAACCAGAAATAGATTAAGTATAAAAAATAAAAGATAGAAAATAATAACTGAAATAATACTAATTTTAGAAGGTACTAATGCTGATTTGAATAAAATATGGAATAGGGAAGTAGAAAACGGGAAATGAAAAAAAATGAAAATAAAAACCATTGAATTTTCAAAAAAAAAGAAAGACAGTCCCTTTTCCAAAACCACCACCACAGCAATAACAGAAAACAAAACAAAAAACAAAACAAAATCATAAAACCTTGAATCCATTTTTTAAGGAGTTCACTGGATTTTTCTTCATTTTATTTATATCTCCCCTTGGTTGTGGGTCCCTGTCCTCTTGGGAAGTTCTTTGCTGTAGGCCAATGTAAATCACTCTCCCTGCCTGGTCCTTGGCCTCCTTGCTGCAGCTCTGCAGGACATGGCCCCAGGTAGTTTAATAAGCTGGTCTTCTCTAGGCCAGAGACTGGGTCATCTTCAGGGCTAACTACTTGTATATATTTGTTCTGGGATGCTTTACCTTCTCCCACAGCACTGGGCTCTGTGGGCTATCAGGTCCAGTCAAGGTGGTTTACTCAGATTTGTGTTAGAGAGAGTGCCTGTAGCTTACAGAATAGGCTGGCAATCTCTTTCTCTCTTTTCATTGCCTCAGTTTTGCCTGGATTACTGCCACTCACCCTAGGAAAGTAAGAATAGGAAAAAAAGAGTGGGGTAATAAAAAGAAAAAAGAAGAAAGAAAGAAGAAAGAAAGAAAGAAAGAAAGAAAGAAAGAAAGAAAGAAAGAAAGAAGAAAGAAAGAAAGAAGAAAGAAGAAAGAAAGAAAGAAAGAAAGAAAGAAAGAAAGAAAGAAAGAAAGAAAGAAGAAAGAGAAAGAAGAAAGAAAGAAAGAAAGAAAGAAAGAAAGAAAGAAAGAAAGAAAGAAAGAAAGAAAGAAGGAAGGAAGGAAGGAAGGAAGGAAGGAAGGAAGGAAGGAAGGAAGGAAGGAAGGAGGGAGGGAGGGAGGGAAGGAGGAAGGAAGGAAAGAAGGAAGGAAGGAAGGAAGGAAAAGAAAGAAAAGAAAAGAAAGAAAGAAGGAAAGAAGAAGAAAGAAAGAAAGAAAGAAAGAAAGAAAGAAAGAAAGAAAGAAAGAAAGAAAGAAAGAAAGAAGAAAGAAAGAAAGGTCTTGCGTGCCTTTTTAATTTTTCAGCAAGGCCAGCTTGTGCTGGGTGGAGCTACTGCCCAGGCTTTCACTTGGCCAGACATTTAAATCTCCAACACATCAGTCTCTTCTGCAAAGGTGCAGATTTCCCTGCCCTATGCTGTTCCTCAGGGCAAGATGTCTACTCATGCTCCTTCCCTGTTCAATGTTCAATTCCCCAGTGCATCATACACTGACTCTTAGGTGTGGATATTCAGCTTAGTGCTATTCCCTGGGTGGGGCAAAGGGTGCCTCCTCTTCACTCAAGTAGGGAAAGAGTGGGGTTCTTTCTCTGGGCACCATGTGGACACCACTTCCCTTTTTGTTGCTCACCTTTGGGGATCTCTGTGTAGGGAGGAGTTCCCCCTTTCCAGTGGGCTGGAGCTGTGCCACTGCCTGCACCTTCCTTGTGTCTTCCAAGCCATGCCTGACACACAGCTGTGCAACACAGTGACCTACTTGACCATCACCTCTCTCCTCTCGGTGGCCTCTTTGCTCACACTATTTCCAGTCAGCTATTGTCAGGTGGGTTTTCAAGTTAAATGCTCTGCACTCTAGCTTCAGGTCTGGTCCTGTGTTTGGAGCAACTGGACGGGACTTCCTTAGTCTTTAGCCATCTTGCCTTGGACTGCAAACCTCCATTTTAAAATTTATTCCTAGGTAACTTATTTGTGCTGTTGTAGTAGTAAATAGGATTGTTTTCTTAACTTTTTTTTTTGTCTGTAGTATATTGTTGGTATGTAAAATGCCACAGATTTAAGAATATTAATTTTTGTGCTTGCATAGGCAGCACATATACAAAAATTGGAAAGATACAGAGAAGATTAGCATTGCCCCTGCACAAGGATGACAGGCAAATATATGAAGCGTTCCATATTTTTAACTGCAACATATGCTAAAAAGATGGCTGTAATTAGTAGAAGAAATAGGAAGAAAAATAGAACCACACTAAAAAAAATGACAATAAAAAAGTACATATCAATTATCAACTTAAATGTGAATGTTTTGAGTGCTCTGATAAAAACACACAGAGCAGCCGACTGGATAAAAAAAAAGAACAACAAAAAACATGACACACATATATGTTCTCTACAAGAGACTCACCTCATAAAAAAAGGCTCACACAGGTTGAAAGTGAAGGGATGGAAAAACATCTTTCAAGCAAACAGAGAGCAAAAAAAAAGCTGGGGGAGTAATACTCATATTTGATAAAGTAGATTTCAAAATGAAAGCCATAACTAGAGACAAAGAAGGCCACTACATAATATTGAAAGGATCTATACAACAGGAAGATATAACCTTGGTAAACATATATGCAGCCAATATAGGAGCACAAATATATATAAAAAATCTTTTGCAGGACTTCAAAGGAGAAATAAACAGCAATACAATGATAGCAGGGGACGTCAACACCCCGCTGACATGACTGGATAGATCTTCTAGACAAAAAATTTAACAAGGAAATACAGAATCTAAATGAAGCGCTAGATCAATGGATTTAATAGACATCTACAGAGAATTACACCCCAAAATTGCAGAATTCCAATTTTTCTCAAGTGTACATGGGACATTCTCAAAGATAGACCTCATGTTAGTGCACAAACTAAGTCAATACAAGTTCAAGAAGATTGAAATCATATCAAGCATCTTCTCAGATCACAATGGCATGAAACTAGAAATCAATTACAAAAAAAACATGCACAGATATTTGAAAACATGGAGGCTAAATAGCATGTTATTGAACACTGAATGGGTTACCACAGAGATCAAGAAAGAAATTAACAAATTCCTGGAAACCAATGAAAATGAACACACAACAACACAAAATCTACGGGATGCAGCTAAAGCAGTTCTGAGAGGGAAGTTCACAGCACTGCAGGCCTACCTCAAGAAACAAGAAAAATTTCTAATAGACTATCTAACCCCACAACTTAAAGAACTAGAAAGCAAAGAAACAAAACAAAAAAAAACAGAGCAAGTAGAAGAAAGAAAATACTTAAGATCAGAGCAGAAATAAATGACATGGAGTCCAAAAAATCAATTGAAAAGATCAAGGAAACAAAGAACTGGTTCTTTGAAAAGATAAATAAGATTGATGGACCTTTAGCTAGACTCACCAAGAAACAAAGAGAGAGAACTCAAATACACAAAATCAGAAATGAAAGAGGAGAAACAATGTCTGGCAAGATAGAAATACAAAGGATAGTTAACAAGTTTTATGAACAATTACACGGCAACAAATTCTACAATCCAAGTGAAATGGACAAATTACTAGAAACACAGAGCCTCCCAAAACTGGACAGGGAAGAGATAGAAAATATGAACAGACCAATAACAACAAAAGAAATTGAAGATGACATCAAGAATCTCCCAGCAAACAAATGCCCAGGCCCGAATAGCTTCAGGGGGAATTTTACTGAACATTAAAAAAAAAAAACTGATACCAATTCTCCTCAAACTATTTCAAAAAATTTAAGAGGAAGGAAGATTTCCAAACTCATTTTTGAGGCCAGCATAATTCTAATTCCAAAGCCAGAAAAAGAAACTAAAAAGAAAGAAAACATCAGGCCAATATCCCTGATGAACATAGATGCCAAAATCCTGAACAAAATACTAGCAAATAGGATCTAGCAGTACATCAAAAAAATTATTCACCATGACCAAGTGGGATTCATCCCAGGGATGCAAGGCTGGTACAATATTTGCAAATCAATAAATGTGATACACCACATAAACAAAATGAAAGATAAAAATCATATGATCATAAGAATAGACACTGTAACACCATTCCAAAAATCCAGCATTCATTTCTGATAAAAACACTGAGCAATCTGGAAACAGAGGGATCATATCTAGACAAAAAAAAGCCATATATGAAAGACCTACAGCCAACATCATACTCAATAGGCAAAATTTTAAATTATTTTCCTTAAAAACTGGAACAAAAAAGGTATGCCCACTTTCCCCACTCTTATTTAACATAATACTGGAAGTCTTAGCGACAGCAATTAGACAAGAAGAAAAAATAAAAGGGATCCAAATTGGACAGGGGGAAGTGAAACTGTCATTATTTGCAAATGACATGTTATTATATATAGAAAACCTGAAAGACTCTATGAAAAATTTACTAGACTTAATAAATGAATATGGCAAATAATCAGGGTACAAAATTAATGTCAAGAAATTGATGGCATTCTTATATACCAATTATGAACTCACAGAAAGAGAAACTATAAAAAAACAATGCCAGATACCATTGTGGCATGAAAATTAAGATACCCAGGAATAAACTTAACCAAAAAAAATGAAGGACCTATTTGCAGAAAACTACAGGTCATCGAAAAAAGAAATAGAGGAAAATATAAAAAAAGTGGAAGCACATACCCTGTTCATGGACTGGAAGAATTAATATCATTAAAATGTCCAAACTACCCAAAGCAAGCTATAGATTCAAAGCAATCCCCATCAAAATACCAACAGCATACTTCAAAGAACAAGAACAAATACTTCAATACTTCATATGGAAGCAAACAAGGACTTGGATATACACAGCAATCTTGAAAAAGAAGAATGAGGTTGTAGGTATCACATTATCAGATTTCAGGTCATACTACAAACACACTGTAATCAAAACAGCCTGGTACTGGCACAACAGGTATATAGAACAGTGGAACAGATCAGAGAACCCAAAAATGGACCCAAGGCAATATGCTCAATTAATATTTGACAAAGGTGGCAAGAGCATACAGTGGAGTAAGGACAGCCTCATTAATAAATGGGGTTGGGAAAATTGGACAGCTACCTTCACAAAAATGAAACTAGACCATCAACTTACACCCTACACAAGAAGAAACTCAAAATGGATAAAAGACTTAAATGTGATCCGTGAATCCATAAAAATCCTAGAAGAAACTGTAGGCAACAAAATGTCAGACATCACATGCAGCAGAATTTTCACTGATATATCCCCTAAGGCAATAGAAACAAAGGAGAAAATGAACATATGGGACTACATCAAACTCAAAAGCTTCTGTACAGCGAAAGATAAAATCATCAAAACGGAAAGACTACCCACTCTATGGAAGAGCAAAATTGCCAATGATATATCAGATAAGAGGTTAGAGAGCTCATACAAGTCAACAAAAAGAAGACAAAGAACCCAATTAAAAAATGGGCAGAAGAACTAAATAGACACCTCTCCAAACAGGACATACAAATGGCTAAGAGACATATAAAGAAATGATCAACATCACTAATCACCAGAGACATGCAAATTAAAACAACAATGAGGTATCATCTCACACCTGTAACAATGGCCTCCATCATCAAATCAAACAACAAGTGTTGGTGAAGGTGTGGAGAAAAGGGGACTCTAGTACACTGCTGGTGGGAATGCAAACTGGAGTAGCCACTATGGAAAACAACATGGTGTTACCTCAAAAAATTGACAAGTGAACTACCATTTGACCCAGTGATCCCACTTCTAGAAGTGTACCCAAAGAAGCCTGAAACACCAATCAGAAAGAATATATGTACCCCCATGTTCATAGCAACACTATTTAAAAGAGTTAAGATTTGAAACAGCCCAAGTGTCCATCAGTAGACGAAGGGATAAAAAAGCATTGGTACATATACAAAATGGAGTATTATGCATCTGTAAGAAAAAAGATCTTATCCTTTGAGACCACATGGAGGGACCTGAAAAATATTATCCTAAGCAAAACAAGCAAACAGAGAAAGACAAGTATCATGTAATCTCAGTTATTTGTGGAATATAATGAACATAACAGTCTGAGGAATTGGGTAGTCCCAGAGATGTGGAAATGAGGTACAGACTGACAATCCCCAGAAGAGGGGGTGGTGGGGGAGAGATAAACCACAGAACTTATATGCATGTATGCATGAACAATGGACATGGACAACAAAGCTAGGGACAGGGCAGGGAGGGAGGGTGAGGGAGGATCAGTGGGGGGAAAAGGAGAAACATGTGTAACAAAATTAAATAAATTAATTTAAAAAAAGAAGTGAAAGAACATTTCCTGTTCATGGATTGAAAGAATCAACATCATTGAAAGTCTATAAACCTAAAGCAATCTATACATTCAATGCATTCCCTATCAAAATATATATGATATACTTAAAGAACTAGAACAAATACTTCAGAAGTTCATATGGAAATAAAAAAGACGTTGGATAACCATAGCAATCTTGAAACAGAATGAGGTTGGAGGGATCACATTACCAGATTTCATGTTATACTATAAACCCACTATAATAAAAAATGCCTGGTACTTGCACAAGAATAGCCATATAGACAGGTGGAACAGAACAAAGAACCCAGAAATGGACCCAAGGCAATATGCTCAATTAATATTTTCCAAAGGTGGCAAGAGAATATAGTCAAGTAAAGACAGCCTCTCCAATAAATGGTGTTAGAGAAATTGGACAGCTACTTGCACAAAATTTAAACTAGACCATAAACTTACACTCTACACAAGAAGAAACTAAAAATGGATATAAGACAGAAATGTGAGTCATGAATCTATAAAAATCCTACAAGAAACTGTAGGCAAACAAATTCCACACATCATACTTAGCAGAATTTTCACTGATACATCCCCTAAGTCAACAGAAACAAAGGAGAAAATGAATACATGAGACTACATCAAACTAAAAAGCTTCTGTACAGCAAAACATAGATTCATCAAAATGGAAAGGCAACCCACTGTATGGGAGAGCATAATTGCCAATGATATATCAGTTACGGGGTAAATTTCCAATATATATAGAATGCTCATACAACTCAACAAAAGGAAGAGAAATAACCCAATTAAAAAATGGGCAGAGGACCTAAATAAACACCTCTCCAAAAAGGACACAC